GTCAGGAATATAAAGATGATAAAGAAGAAATTTGATTAGACTAACACTGGTGATCGATTCGGTGGAAGTCGGAAAAACGATTGAATGATTCTTTCTATTCAATCAAACCAAATTAGTTTTAACGAAAGAACTAGACAAAGAAAGAAAGCACAAACTTTTTCGCAGGAAACAATATCATCGTCGGATAATGATATGCAGTTAAATGCCATGGAAGATCATGCTTATCTGCTTGTATTCTAAATGAGATCAAAGTGTGAGAGGATTTCGAACGAGAAAGTTCTAACCGACCGAGTAAAAATCAGATCGGAGAAGTTTTCGAAGAACTTCTTTGTTTGATATAAAACTGGCCAGATGGATTGACAAAATCCGCACCATTTCGTATAATAGACGACCAGAACATGCTAAGAATCGGAACTGGTTAGAATGTCTTCAAAGTCTCAGCTCGTTTCTTACCTTAGTCGAATCAAAAACAACTGGATGAAATGTATCAGTTGTCAATTCGATGAGCTTATTGGAATGGTTTATCACTGCTTCATCATTTGGAATGCTTGTATATGAGCGAGATCGTACATTCTGCGAGATTTCATATATAAGTTTATCTAAAGTATCAGCAAGCAGTGTAACTCACGAAAGATGCATTTCGGTATACATACAAATATTTTCAGTAGTAATGTGAGTATCGTTGAGAATATAATGCTGTTCGTTCTAGAAAAGAATTGAATGCATACAATCTGATCTCTGCTTATTCATCATGAAAATGTCTAAGTAGTCGTGCAATGACTAGTTATGATAAACCGGTAATCATTAAGACGTCGGATGTTGGAAGTCTCAATCAAAGGGGTGTATTCTTCTTCATGAGTGGGTCTCCGCGAGGAACTATTGTCTTTGTGTGTGTGTATTTGTTGGTAGAAACAAATCGATTATGATAACAGTGCATGCAGAATATGTTCGAGGGAATCGTGAAATACCGACAGATTTATCTCTATTTTTTTTTTCTTAACAGATAATAAAAAATATTTGTTTATGACTCATCTGTAAGATTAATCTGAAGAGACACCTCGATTATTCAAAAACGACGCGGTACATCGGATGTTTCTCAACTGACAGAATAGGTTAATCATCGAGTTGCGTTAGAACAATCATTTTTATGTTAGTCGTATGTTTTTAAATTATACGATTTAGTTGTCTACGATTAACAAGCACCGATAAGAAGATATGCATCTTTAGTCAGAAGCATCTATAACTAACATGTGTTTGTTGATAAGCTTTACAACACTTAGTCAATCGAACAAATCTTTGTTTTCTCTTAACTGACAGCTGTAAAACGAAAGAAGTTGTATTGTGTTTTGATTGATAGTGGTGACTTACTTTTGGTTGTAACACTATGATTGCTCTTGAAGTATTCATAATACCGATATTTTGACCGAAATTTGGGTAATGTCGTGAGTTGACCAATCGGATTGCCCATGTTGAGTTAATTCCACATAGGAAATTTCGATACTCCTGTGTTGAACTATTACCTTCGAGAATCTTTTTCGGTTGAATTTTGAGAATTTGTTCGTAGAATTTATCTCGTCTTTTATCGAGAACAGCGTCGCGATTCGTATTGGAACTTTTCTCGTGAGTTAACGACGAATTTCTCAACCATTGTTGGCAGTACAGTTCCACACAGAGTTTTTCCACAGATTTAATCTTTAAAATTGGCAAACAGACATTGGCATGTTTATTCGAGAAATTCAATATCGACAATGGATAATTTAATAAACATATATTGTATAAATCATCTGTCGAAATTTGACTTAATGCGTAATGGCAACATGATGATAAACGATGAAGTTGCGTCTTATTCAGATTGTCCGGTAGATCAGCGAATGAATCATTGTACAACCGTTCCAGTTGTTCGAGCCATCGAGACGAATGCGTAACATTGCAACTTGAAAGATAGAAATAAATTTGACGCAGCTAAAGAGAGAAAAGATAGAAATAAATAGTCCGACGAAATCAGTCATGTGTAAAAAATAATCTACTAAATTCTTTTTTGTTTCTTTCATTAGGTTTATTCGGTCGTCAATAACAATCATAGTCGGATGAAGACCGTAACAATCTTGGCATGTTTACGAACATCATCAATTGCATTACGAGCTTTAGTTTTATATCGCATATCTTACTTTTATCTCGTCGAATCTGTTTGAGGTGAAAAATAAGAGGAGATTGTCATAGTCAGTTAGCGCATCAGTAACAGTCGCTTTGTCAATCGACGGACTATGCGAATAATAACGATTTCTCGGTATAAGCCACCCGACATGTGCTTCTGTCTAAATGAGATTCGCATAGAATAGATAAAGAAGTTATCATTTGTCAAGAACTAACCTCTTCATTGATGATCCATTGATAGAGATTTTCCATAGTAAAATTATTCGTCATATTTGGAAACATCTGTTCAATTAGACAACAATAAACAGAGATAAAGCGATTTTCGTCTTACTTGAGGTTCAGTATGTAACTGATGTAGAACGACGAATGGCGTTTGGAACGTATTATTCACATAAAGTCGTGATAGTTCATCGGTAATCGATTGGTTTAGAATAATAGCAAAACGTACAGGGTGTTCGTTATCTATTTAAAGCATGAAGATATATTAGATGTGTTTGAGATTGCATTTACCATATTCAATGTGTTTCAGAGCGGCTTGAACGTAGAGAGAAGATTGCTGTCTTTGTAAATCATTTGAAAAATCAAAAGAAGCTAAAACAGTTGACTAAAAAAATCAAACCAAAGTCGACTTAAATAACGATCCGTTAAAACCAAACTCGTTTTTACTTCGTATTGAACAATAAAATCTAAAAAGTCATTTACATCGGTTAATCTTATCACAGGCATACGAATTTTCTCGATAAATTCAATTATATTGGAAGCAATTGCCGGTCCAAAATATTGATAGCCTCGCGTGCCTTTGACGTATAAAAACATATGAGGAAAATAATTCAATTTGTACGTCTTTCGACATTGACCATTATAATGAAAACAATCAACAGCGATGAACTTGACCTAAACAAGAAAAAAGAAGCCATTGTTCAGCGACAATGAATTGTCTTCAGTTCTTACATGAAATTTATCTAAAGTAACATTTCCATTTGGAGTACGTTCTCGGTAGAACGCAGCGGCTTTTTCATACGGATCACGCATACGTCGACTGATACCACAGAAATCTATCGTTCGAACATTTGTATTTCGATTATATTCTCTCCGTGTTCGTCGTTACTTACTTGCATAGTACATAACGAAGACAAACGTGTGTGAATTGATCGTTCGTGAAACAGGCGCTAGGTTTCCGTCGAAATAATCATCAATGAGCTGCTTCGATGATGTGAAGAAAGGCCGCGGTTCTTTGTACGTTCCAGCATCGGACGAGAAGAGTCTACGAATAAAATATCGATGAAAGTTCATGGGATGACGCTCTACCTACCGAAATGTTTTAGTGGATCTGATCACTGATAATAGTAAGATGATGATCTTCACATACTTACACATTCTATTTTCATAAATCACGGATTCATATGAAAAGAAAAGCGAACATATTTAGGAAATATTCAATCACATGTCTGTTTTCGGTATTTTAATTAGAAAAAATCAATTATAAAAGAAAATAAATTAAGATTTTGAATACGTTTTGATTAAATCTCTTGCCGCTTGTAAGTCTAAATGAAGTTACTTAGATGGAGAAGAGAGTGTCGATCACAAGAGATTACCAGCAAATAAAACAGCAAATTGTTCGGCATTCATTGCGAATGATATCGATTTCGATTGATTCTCTAGATTATCATTATAATTTAAATTCATAGTTACAACAGGTAAATGCATATCGTGTAGATTATTTGTTGTTTTCACATCGAGCAGATTCCATTGAATATCGCCCAGTTTTGTCACTAAAAACAAGAGCAATGTCATACGATATAAAATCAAAGATTCGGCCATACATCGCATGACGGATGAACGTAATTTTGCGATCAATTTCTCGAAACTTTCGTCGTAAACTTTGACTAAAGCACTTGCATGTTCTACGATGAAAATACAAAGTAGATCAAAATCGAACTCACGATAAACATACCTTTAGGAAGACCAAGTTGCGTCAATTCGTTTAGTAATGATTGTCCGTCAACGGAATGTTTAGCTGACATAGTAAGAATGTATTGCAAGGCACGGACAGATGCTTTCAAATTTCCACTTTCTACACAGAATAGTTAGATAATCATCATAGTGCATACGATCTCTGTACCAAATTTATCGCCGACTAGCTTTTGTACTTCACTAAACTAAAAGCACGCGAGTTTAATGTTGTGAAACAGACTTCAAATCTTACGTTTAGCGTATCTGTAAGAATTGCCTGCATCACTTGCTGACAAAGTGCTTTCAATTTCACTGAACTCTAAAGAGAACATGAAGTTCAGTAAAAGACTTCACCCGATCAAGATGCGTTTACTAGTTTTGATAATGTGAAGATTTCAGCCAATAACCAATCAGCACAGTCTTCACCACCACAAAAACGAAACCGCTAAAAAGAAGATATCCTTTAGTATCTATTGAGCAACATATCAGAGCAATTTCGTAGCTTTCCGTTGCAGAAGAGAATGACAACATTCAGATAGAAGCTTTTAGTATAAGCAGTACTCCCTCTAATCTAGATGATGACTTACCATATTGAACTTTTCGTTCTAAATCTAAAACAACAAATGAAAAAAACAGCTCAAATGTCTTTTTTCGTTCTTTTGTCTCAGTTATCATATCGATCCGATGTTTTATTTGTTAGAGAACATAGTGTAACAGAAAACAAAACAATGATGACATGAAATGACAACTAAACGAAGGTCGAGGTTATGTTTTTCTTTTTTTTTTCATAGTTGTCTTGTAAAAGAGCAAAAAACTTCGTTTTCTTTTGTGTTTTATGCTTTCGATTCCGACAATCGAGTTGATGAACGACGTTTGGATTCACTGCGTTTGCGTTCACGTTTTTCCTTGGCGTATTGTTGAAGTAATTTGGCGTATCTAAATCATTAAGAGAAAGTATTCACAGAAAAACGTACTTTTGACTAAGACTCACTCATTTTGAAGAACGCGTTGTTTTTCAGCACGACGTTTCTTCAATGCTAATGCATGTCTCTTGCGTTGAACACGTCGTGGTGTAATTAAACGTTGAATTTTCGGTGCTTTAACTCGTGGTTTTTTGCTTTCTTTTGTCAATGGTCGTTTAACGACGTATTTTCTAACATCGTCTTCTTTGCTTAAGTTAAACAATTTACGGATGTGATTAGCACGTTTGGGTCCGAGACGACGTGGAATGGTTTTGTTTGTTAGACCATCAATATCTTGTTCGCCACGTTTGCTGACCACACAAGCCAAAACGGATAAGTTTTGATCAACAACGCAACCGCGAACAGACTTGCGTTTACGTTCACCCTTTCGTCGTTGACGGTAACATTTATGACGTTTGTCAAGAAGTAAACGGACACGTTGGTTAGTCAAGACACCTTGCATCATGGGAAAACCTTGTTTGTCATTTCCACCTGTGATACGTAATGTGTAACCTTTCCATTCATCACCTAAACAACTGGCATCAACTTCTTGAGCAATGCGTTTCTCCATGAATGGACGCAATTTACGATCGTCATCGATGTCGAGAAGTTTTTGACATCCTGTTACGGGATAAGCTATGTTAAGCTTCATGATTGAAGATCTAGAAAGACAAAGTGTTTTACGAGGTTTTTCTCAAAACAAACTCGAGAGAAAATGAAATGCAAGGAGAATAGAAGAAGAAAACAAAAGCGTCGATAAACTATGAAACCAATCATATATGTCAGTGATAAAGTAAGAGAGGACTGGCTGAAGGTTTCAGTTACTATTAGATGTCGCCTGAAGTCATTCATGGAAGAATCGAACGAATGAGAAAGGCTTTCTTAAATTGATCGATCATAGACATATATTTTTTTGAAGAATGCAACGAATATTTGCTAGGCTATTTTCTCATGGTAAAAATCTTTCGCTAATATGTGAACGCGAGTCTTATTCTATGGCATAGGACCAAGTTTGGATGAAGAAGTTCAGACAGACGAAATTGAAGTGAATGGCGAAGATCATGTAAACAGAAGTTCGTTGCCGTTCTTATAATCCATATTTGTTTTTGTTCAGATTGAAGCAGTGCGTGATTTACGTGATACATATAATCAGCCAATAAAATGCTCATACCAGAAAAATTTCCAACGATTTTCTGACAAGAAAAATTCCATCTCGATTCTTCGACAAGTGAGTTAACTATCAGCAATTGATTCGTTGTTTTGAAATGTGAAAATTCTAGCATGAACTAGGTCTGATTCGTTTTCGTCAATACCCTCAAGCGCGTTACAACTTAATGAAAAGGTAGGAACATCGATCGAAAATTCTCACAATGATTTTCAGTCGTTTGCTCTTGTTTATCGTAGATTATTACCGGAAGAAGGTGAAGTGGTTGCATCCATGGAAAGACCAACGTTTTGCGGTCAATTTTCTGATGATGGTCAATGTTTTATCAGTGCTTGTCAAGGTAAACCAATTGAACTAATCGCAGAGATGTCGATCGCGTATCTGCATACACTTAGACAATTGTATTCGTCTTTATGATACATCAACACGACGAAAATTTGCTCAACTCACAGAGATCGAAGCAATCGATGTCGGATGGTCGATACTGGATACTGCTTTGTCGCCTGACCGAACACAAATTGCTTATTCAACGTGGTCGGATTGCAGTAAATATCTAAATAGCATTGTATGCTTGATATTCAATCTCTTTTCCATCTAGTCTATTTGATCACTCTCGATGAAAACTATTCTGAACCGAAGATTTCATCATTGTACTTACGACCGGAAACAAATCGTTTCTCAGTATTTTCTTTACAATTTTCAAAAAGTGGCTCTGAAATTATCTGTGGCGCAAGCGACAATTGTGTGTATATATTCGACTTAGAAAAACAGCAACGGACCTTACGTGTATGTGTTGACAACGATTGAGAATTGTTTTGACAACTTGTGCGTTTATTGTACAGGTCGAAGCTCATCGGAGCGATGTCAATGCTGTTCGTTTTATTGATGATTCGAATGCATTGCTTGCTAGTGGTTCAGATGATGGCCTCGTTCTTGTTTGGGATCGACGAGCACTGAATGAAGCACAACCGAAACCAGTTGGAACTTTCGCGGGTCATAAAAGTGGAATTACTTTTGTACATAGCCGAGTATGAATGAAATCTTTAGAGATGACCCGATTAAGTTTGTTCATCGTAGATGGATTCACGGTATTTAATTTCCAACTCTAAAGATCAGAGTATTAAATTGTGGGATATGCGCCGTTTTGCTGATGAATCAGCCATATCGCGAAGTCTTAAAGTATCCAATGCAGTTAGTCGTGTTTGGGATTACCGAGTCGGCGTTCAATCATTATCACGTACGAACGAATGTATTCATTCTTACCGAAATCTCTACGGAATACTTTGATTCTAGTGCACAAAGAACAAATCCCTGGCGATCCCAGTGTTTGTACATACAGAGAACACAGTGTTGGCTATACACTTATACGATGTTATTTTTCGCCCGCGTTTACTACGGGACAACGCTACATTATCACAGGATCATCGAATGGTTGTGTTTACAGTGAGTGAACTTTTCTCGACCGACAGTTTCATAAATGAACAACTAACTTGCTCTAGTATATGACGTTCTCACTGGATCAGTTGAACGATGCCTTCGCATTCGAAATAATTATTACGGCTCAGAACGAGAGAAATGTGTACGCGATGTCGCATGGCATCCATACGACGGTTACATTGTGTCGACATCGGTAAGTTTTATTTGAACGACGACGCATTGTACTGTTTGATTTATTCTAGTGGGATAACAGACGAGCACATGTTCGATGGACTCATAAAATGACTGATTCTTCAGAGCCGTGTTTATCACCACCAGTAGAAACAAAAACTGTTTCTGTACAGACACCATCTTCTCCATCATTGAATCATTCGACAGAACTCTCAGGCTTGTTCCGGAGATATTTACTTCAACAATCTCACGACAGTGGCTTCAATGTAGATAGCGACGACGAAGACGATGGACCGTTTTGAAGTTCAGTGATTTCCGACGTTTTCTTTTCTATTTGATTTGCAAATTGCGTTTCGCTTTAAATCCGGTGTTTATTAACATATATAGTTTTTTGACAAAGAGCAAAGAATTTTTTTTCGAATAAAAACAAATATTTGGCAATTCAATGTCAACATTTCTGTATAAAAATAAACATTTTCATATCATTGTTCATCAGTTTAACACAGAAGTCTTCAGTTCATTCTAAATGTCATATCAAATGAAGTAAAACACGACAAAAAGGAGTAGACAAATAAGAAACGCTACAGGAGAGACTGGCACTGCGTTATCAGTTGTATCTGTTATAGCAGAAGATGAAACATTAGGATTTATTCTGGCTGATACAGACGACGCTGGATTTAAATATGCACCACTGGTAGTTTGTTGTATCCAATCTTGATAAGCAGCGACACGAGTATAAACTCCCATCGCGTTTGCACGTGCACATCCATCACCGTAACTAGTCAGACCGACTAAAACCCATTGATTGCTCGTAGTAAACATCATAAGTGGACCACCTGAATCCCCTTGGCATGTATCTAAAATAGAACAGAAACAGAAAAGGTTAATGGCACAACAAAAAACCGAAATAATTACCTTTACCACCACCATAAACACCGGCACAGAGCTGTTTTTGTTGATTGTACAAAACCGAATAACACGTTGGATCAGTGTAGGCTATCGTCTCAACTGTGACTTGCTGTAGATAATATGGCAAGGAACCATCTTCTGTCAATGTACCCCATCCAATTGCGACAACCTATCGACGAATGATGACATTTGAAAGTCGAAATACAAAACAGAATCACGTACAGATAAACCAGCAGCTGGCCATTCGCCAGCAGATAGAGTTGCTGAATCAACTGATGGTATACAAACTGGTTTAACACTTGAATTTGAGATTGTTAATGGAGAACTAAGACGTATTAAAGCAATATCATTAACATGAGTACTACTGACGTAACTCGGATGCACTGTAATACTGGATGCGACTCGAGATTGCCCTGAGAATCGTGCATTCGAACCAGCATACACAGTCACTTTCGATGCTGCGAGTCCGGATACGCAATGTGCTGCGGTGATTACCCACGAACTTGATATAACACTTCCGCCACATAATGCTTGATTATTTATTGAAATTGACACTGCCCAACTCCAAGTACTTGTTGCTGCTGTTTCTCCTCCGACAATTCGAGAAACTGTTGCTGAATTCGGTGAACAACCACATGATACTGTTGGATCACATGAATACAAATATTGATGAGTTTGCTGCACAAGGACAAGTAGAAGTACAGTGCAATAACTGATGATGTCGTGCTTGTATCCTAGATTCATTTCGACGTCGAATGACTGTGCGTCGAAAATATTAAATATGTGAGTAAACCTCTGTAGCAACGTACTTTTTTCTCTTTCTATTTTTTCCTCTTCCGATAATGCCCAACAATATTTATTCAGTAACAGTTGTTTGCATTACTCATGGTTGAATAAAAATCGATTGCAATGTCTTAACATTATGCTCACAATAAAACTTTTTTCTTCCTCGATAAAATTCTCTCGGAAAGAAAGAACACTTCATCTGATCGTTAAGAAAAAGAACATTTTTCTTGGTATTTTTTTAGTCGGAACATGACGAAAACATCTCGACAATAATCACGACAGCATCTAAAAATCAGCGAACGTGTGTGTCAGAGATTTTTCTCCAATAGATTTCTATTTAAATCGATGGGAAGTGACGTTCATACGACTGCTATTGAGAAAATGTTACAAAAACATAGAAGAGAAAAAAGTACATATGATAATTATAGTGGTTGTCGAGTAAACACAGCTATACAAGTACTTTTACAGAACAAATTTCGGAGATCGGTTACTTGTTCTTAATGACAATAGCAAAAATATGCATCAGATACCTTTTTCACTTATCTTTGATCTCCAAACGATTTATCTTGTGATGAAACCAGGTTTTTTGTTTAACAACTAGCGCCATCTTTCCGCAATTCATTTCACGCTGGTCATTTTGTTCCTAAGATACCATTGCTGAGAGCGATCAATGGATTAGATTTGTGGTTATTTCTTTTTCTTTGTCAATCGTTGATCTAATCAGTTGACATAGAAAAAATGCTTGATTCGCAGCAGAAATCTTCACGACCATTCAGATCTATAACTCCTCGAAAAAAATCAGTTCGCTTTAATATCACATCTCCATCACCACGAATTCCTTCGTTAATCAACGAAAGCGATTCGGCAAGTCATCGTCAACACCCATTGAATGTGTCCTATACAATACCCTCGACGACAGTCAATATCGATCATGTCACAAATCAATCTCATATGCACCATCTGCACGATCGTGTCGAATACATTCCGACGACACGACGGAATCATTTACAAATTACAGGAGAAAAAATTCTTCCTCAACCACAGACACTCGACGAGCTTCATCAGTTTATGAAGGTGAAAGCAGCAAACCTTCGAAAAAACATGACACATGTAACAGATACATTTATTCACGCCAGCACACATTTGAATCGGATAAAAGACGGTAGAGAATCATTTCAAGTGTT